CAGTTGCCAAATCACACTGTGATGCAGTTTAAGAGGCTTTATTGTGCATTGATAAAAGTTTAGCAGGATGTGGGGGGACCACACCATGGACGTCTCTAGGCCATTTTTAGGGGGGGGGGGCTATAGTCCGTTTTTCAGGACGTTCTTTTTCAATCCACAGACCGTGGTGGCGCAGAGTGAGAAACAGAGGACAAGGTGTGTGTTTATCGATAGATTGTTGTAATATCTGCATCTGTGCAGTTCTTTGTCATAAATCCAGTTTACAAAATATCATGGGGGAGAAATAATCGGTTCCCCATCTACTGTAGCCTAAGTTTTCACTGCGTTCACCCCTCATCACACCACAGCTGTTTCCTCCAGCGAAAATGTAGCACATATGAACGCATACTTTATAAAACGATCATCTTGCCAGTTTCATTTGAAAATGTAACTTTCAATATAATACATATTCCAGTGCATGTGGCAAAGAGGTTTGCATACTTGAGCTAAGGAAAGAGGGTTGTACTAGAAATGCAAACAGTAAAACTTTGTGTTTGTACAGTAAACAGGTTGTGTGTGTGAGATCATGAAGACTAGAATTTGGCTTATTCAGTACTCAAATGTAATACCTATCTATGCAATACAGTGGAATACTGCAATAAATTTAGTATACGACCCCTATTAATCAAACATATATATGTTTATTATTATTATTATTATACCCTCACTGGGGGCTTTCATACCCCCCTAAAATGAAAATCCTAGAATCGCCCCTGTAGTGCACCTTTTTGATCAGAAAGGAGGTGGACACCCAGGAACACGTTATCTTCAGATATTTGGAAAAAGACAGTGAATTGATCAATAAAATTTAATTAAATGTTAATAAAATTAAATTACATAAAATGTCAAATAAAATATAAATTTAATTTAAAAAAAAAAAAGAAAAGAATAGCAAAAGAGTATGATACAGCACAGATGCACTGCAATTGAATCTTTATTAACGGTTTCGAAAATTAAATGTAGTTCGTTTTAAATGGTGCCGAACGTGTCAGCTAAGAGACTATCAAAGTTTACAGGACAAGTAAATAAATAAATAAATCCCACACAAATGGTGAAAGATGAAAAATATTTTCTCTCTCTCTGGGACATAAAAATACCTGTCCTGTTTTTGGTCCCTGCACACCATATAAATAGACATCTCTTTGTCTATTTCAGGTAAATACTAGGGAAACCCCAGTGAACCAGTACTTTAATGCTGCTACAACAGAATAGGAACAGTTGTTCATGACAACATAAGGCCATACTGACGGATGTGGGATATTAACAGTGACAGAAGAAGGCCTGCACACTCAAATCCGCTATGCCAAGTAGGTTAAGTATGGATTTAAAATGCATACATACAATGCAATTATACAGACCACATTGAAGGGTTACACTTTCGCCTTAGTGACAGGGTTGACAGTTTTACAGTTCACTCAGCCATTACTACTCTTGCGCTCAAGGTTATGAAACTATTAGTGTTTATTAGAAGAAGAATGCTGATATTTCTACAAACATCCAGTTGTCAATAATCATTGTTTACTGTATAAATCATGGTAACGGGGTTGACTGACAAACCCTACAAAATGTAAGATAGTGCTAAAAATAGGGTATTGTTTTTTTAATTATGATTTCATATATATATATATACATATGTAATATTTCCATTTAATGTTAGTAATTAGTTATGATGCAATACAGGGTTGACAGATAACCTGGGGATGCAAATTTAAGTCTTTTTTTTTTTTTTTATTCAACCTGTCTATTAAAGTCTGAATAAATAATGTAAGTATACATAAGCAGAGTAAATACAATATACTAGCTTAAATAAATATACATATGCAAATGAGTGTCCTGCTGTTTAGCCTACACATTTATTCATGACATATGTAATATTTCCATTTAATGTTAGTAATTAGTTATGATGCAATACAGGGTTGACAGATAACCTGGGGATGCAAATTTAAGTCTTTTTTTTATTTTTTATTCAACCTGTCTATTAAAGTCTGAATAAATAATGTAAGTATACATAAGCAGAGTAAATACAATATACTAGCTTAAATAAATATACATATGCAAATGAGTGTCCTGCTGTTTAGCCTACACATTTATTCATGAGGGACAAAAACCAACCTTTTCGTGAGGCAATGAGCCACAAAAACAAGCTTTCACTTTTTTTTTTTAGCCATTTATAACCCAGCAAATGTGTCTGCTGTGATGATTTTACCCGTCTATAACATTGGACTATTCTCACAGGTCAAACTTTGAGTCCCCAAGCTGGAGGACATCGACTCTCTGATATGCAGGTTACAAAAGCCGTCAGTCATTCATACTCACGTCCCGAGGATTTCCTTCATCTCAAATATCTTCCTGATATCATCCACTTGCTTTTTCCACGATCCATTCACAGATTCCTCGCTTCCCCTGGCCATGGTGCTTCCAGGGTGAGCGCTGCCTCCGAATAACCGTCTTAACGCGTCAATCTTTCCAGCCTTACAGGAAACACAAACGGATAAAGCCGCGAACGCGAGTGTCGGTTTCTGTGACTGTATGACCGGTTTTAACCGTTGCCCGCATTCCGTTTCATGCCGCCCGGTTACGGTACCGCCAACAGAACGAGGACTGACCGACGCACAGCGACTAAATCCAATCGCGCCTCACTGACTCACCGCGACGAGACGCGCTCGAGCTGAACCAACAGTGTGTAACGCGCGCGCAAAAGCGTGATTCCGTGTTCTCGAGGTATTGCAAAGTAACGTTGGGGCTGCTGTACCGCACCGGTTGACAAAATGATGCAGCTGTTGTTGCCCGGTAAATAACCGGTGAGCGCGTGAGGGATGTTAGCAGACGGCGGAACAGACTGCGTCAGGAACGGTACACCTGCTGCATCAAGAGCAATAACTACTGCATTCATCATTAGCCATACAAACTCAGTGGCGTGAGGAAGACACTTAGATAAACGGTCTGTTTAAATAAATATTTTGGTCTAATTTATCTAATTAAAAAATCTGTTTTAGAGGGGGAAAAAAACTTTAAAAACACAAATAGATGAAGTATAATGCACAAAATTAACGCTTAAATGGATATTTTCTTCTTTCTTCAGAAATGTTATGGAAGCAAAATGGCTCCAAATCTCATAATTGACCAGTGCATGAAAAAAAAGCAATGGTTTTGCCTGTAGTGTCTTGCCTTAATATCAATAGCTTAAAAATCCAAAACAATGTAATGCTGTTAAAATACTAAATCACCTACCTTTGCTTTTTATGAATGAACTTTTTTTTCCAGGACATAATTTCTTCATGGATGTCTAAAGGAAACATGGACATTTTTCACAAGACATTAACTGTAATTCATTTGAACCGACTGATTAGGATTGAATATACTAAATGACAGACAAACAGGTTTAATTATAAATCTATTTGCTTTGCATGATGAGTATGTTAACGGTAAATTACAAACTTTTTTTTTTTCATTTTTATTTTATTTTTTATCTCCAGAATAAGTATTCAAGTACAAATTCAGTTTCGTCCACAACATTACGACTACTGAAAACAATGCCTATAATTCAACATTATAAATTGGATTTGGATGGGATTGTCACAGGTAAAGATTCACAGCAACATAAACTAGATATCAAAACAAAAATATTCATTTTCGATTAATACTTTCACGTCGTAAACAAGTAACAATCGATTCATTTTTGTTATTTCTGATTCTACATTCATCTGGAAAGAGTCCATTTCCAAGCAGCCCTTAATTCACATGCACACATTTAATGCACCAACATTTTGATCGTGAGCCACTACTAGTTCACATCACAATATTCATCTCAATGCTGCAACAAATATTATTTATATTCTTTTCTTTGCCTCCATAGTCTTCCGCCTTCGGCACATTTATCAAAAATTTAATTTAAAAGTGCTTTGAAAAATTACATACAATATGTATGTATGCTTTGTTCGTTTTCTACATTTCTTCTATATAATAAAATTTTTCTGTGCCAAATATTATTTCTGAAATATCAATTCTGATACTTTCAAAAGGTGTACTGATAAGCTGATTTAGATGTCAGTAAGAAATGTTCAGTCAACAGATGTTCCCTTATACCTAAATAAGGGGATACATTGAACAGCCAAACCTGCAATATGCCTCTGTTTAGTGCTCAGGCTACAAACAGTACTTGGAGTTTGTTGTCAGTGTACCAGTCATAGCTTGTTTGCTACAATAAGACGATCATTTCTTGAGGTTTATGGTTGTGTGGTCTCAGGAGAAAGACGCGGTCAGGATGGCTTCATGCTGCTGATGGTGGAGGGTACCGATGCCCACGGCAGGAGCGGGTAATGCTGGTCTGCTGACTAATCTCAACTGAGGGAACAAATCACGAGATCAACGTCAATCATTTTGCAATAAATCAGTGCTAATTGAATGAATGTCAAAAATGTAAGCTAAGAGGCGATCAAGGCATTAGCTAAGAAGCCCTCTATTAGCGTGAAGTGGTGAACCTGACCTTGCAGGCTAACTGTTTTTTGAATCTCGGTGATACAAATGACCAGCAGCCCATGTTCTGTGGCTCCTCTTGACTCCAGATCAAATCTGTAACAAAAACAGAAATTATACTAGTTGATATGGAATAATATAATATAATATAATAAGAACTGGCCATGTTTTCGGTTTAAATGTGTCGGCTTACAATAGAGTTTGCTGTTAGCATGTTCACAACTAACAACAACAATACTGCAATAAGCATTAAATATATACACTACTGTTCAAAAGTTTAGGGTCAGAATATTTTTTAAATGACTTTTTAATTCAGCAAGGATGCATTAAATTGATCATAAGTGATGACATTTTTCAAAAGAGAGATTTCTATTTAAAATTACTTCTGTCCTTTTGAACATTCTGCACAAAAATATTAAGCAGCACAATTATTTTCAACATTGATAATAAGAAATGTTTCTTGAGCAGAAAATTAGCATATTAGAATGATTTCTGAAGGATCATGTGACACTGAAGACTGGAGTAATGATGCTGAAAATTCATATATAAAATATATTAAATTATATACAAAAAGAAAACTATATATATTTTTTTTTTTTAAATTTTTTTTTACTGTAAAGAGATTCCTTTCAACTTTTTTTTTTATCTTACTGACCCCAAACTGTGGTATTGCGTTTATAGAAAATTCATATATAAAATATATTAAATTATATACAAAAAGAAAACTATATATATTTTTTTTTTTTAAATTTTTTTTTACTGTAAAGAGATTCCTTTCAACTTTTTTTTTTATCTTACTGACCCCAAACTGTGGTATTGCGTTTATAATAAACAAATATTTTGAATCAGATATAATATGTCTCATATATTTCATCCTATAAGGAAAAGCAAGTATAATGTCGTATTTCTTTTTTCATGGAGCTCCGTGTATTGCATTCTGGGATTGCCGAAAGGCTTTTTATCAACACCTCTGCACGTTTGCGATTCCTTACGAAGGCCACTCACTGAGCAATTGCCACAATACCAAAGAAACAAATGCTAATTAAGACAATCCTTTGAGTGTTCCATGAATAAAAGATGTGTATATGAGCAACTCACCTTTGGCGTTTGTGTATTTATTTAGTTCCTGTTGTAGGGCTTCTGTGGGGAAAGGACACAGTTCCTCCACTCTGATCAGCGCTGTGCTTTTTTCTGCCTCTGGTAACGTCTCTCTATGTTTCAGCAGGGCATAGTAATGTTTACCTGAGCAAAACAGAATCCGCTGCACACTGCAAGAGCAAGGAAGGAAGGGAAATAATACTTTTATTCAGCAAGTATGCATTAAAATAATTAAAAGTGACAGTAAAGACGTTTACATTATTACAAAATACTTCTATTTCAAATAAATGCTGTTATATTAGCAGAACAACTGTTTTCAACATTGATAATAATAAGAAATGTTTCTTGAGCAGCAAATCAGCATATTAGAATGATTTCTGAAGGAACATGTGACACTGAAGACTGGAGTAACGATGCTGGAAATTCAGCTTTACTACCATAGGAATAAATTATATTTTATTTTACATTCTAATACAAAACAGTTATTTTAGATAGTAATAATATTTCAGATTATTACGGTTTTTTTCATCAAATAAATGGTGACCATAAGAGACTTTCTTCAAAAATGTGTTTTAAAAAAAGTGACTGAATGAAGATACCTTGCAGGGTTTACAGAAGTATCACCAATGACAGGCTTAAAGGAAGTTCCTGGTCCCATACCAGCCAAGCTTGACACTGCTCCCTAGTGCCAAATAGAGATGAATAATAAAACAACAAAACAAAACGCTCTTTTTTTCAGTAAGGAATTAGTATTTAAAAATATGAATATCTCTAACGTACAGAAAAGCGCAGCAGAGTCTTAGGAGAGGCCACGATTAGCGGCTTCCTGAAATTTCTAATCATTTGTCTCCGCAAAAGGTGATAGTATTGAGCTGGTAGGGTAGGATTGACCACTCCCATGTTCACCGTGTCACCGTCCACATCTTCCTCTTTACTGTCACAGAGCTGCAGGAGGAAGAAAGTGCAATTACGAAGATTATCAGTGATGCTGAAAGATTCAGTCTGTACTTTTCCTGTAAGAGAGCATGCATTAACTCGCCTGTAAGAAACGCTCGATTCGGCAGGATGAATGCTCTGGTCCGGCTCCATCGTATCCGTGTGGCAGTAAGATGACCAATCCACTCTGCAGGAGCCATTTCGCCTCTCCTTAAGAAGTTTTACCACAAAACAGGATTTAGGCTCTAAATGTGTATTTAACCATTTGACCAAAGCTTGTGTAAAACACTGCAAATTATACTGTGATCCTTAGCATTTGACTGCATTTTTTTTTTTACCTCCAGAGAGGAAAGTGTCAAATATTATCTGGGCGCCGTTGAAGAAATCTCCAAACTGAGCCTCCCAGATGGGCAGCAGTCTAGGCAGAGCAATGCTCATTCCATACTCAAACCCCAGAACAGCTTCCTCTGAAAGAGCACTGTTGCACACCTGCAAGGACACACACACACAACAACATAATTATTATATGCTGTAAAATGTGGTGGCATAAAGAATTAAAACAGCAAACCACCCAGCTCAGGAATGAAGAGCAGCTGGAGTATTGAGTTACAAAGCTAATACGTTACATGCCATCAACCAAACAGCCTAAACTAAAATGTACTATTAAAAACACATAATATACATACACATAAAAAGTGATAAATGATTGCAGCAATGCATAACTCATGTTTGCAGTAAACGGGGCCTGTTGTGGCTCACCTCCAAGTGGCCTTTCTGTTCAGGGCTGATGTGATTGAGGGGGATGTACATGTCGTTGGTTTCCTGACACACAACCATAGCGTGACGCTGACTGAACGTACCCCGGCCAACATCCTGACCACTGATACGGATATCAAATCCTGCATAAAATATATATAAAAATGGGTTTTTAAACTTTTTGATGCTAATATATTTTCATGTACTCTGACGTCAAAACTTTAGGGTCAGTTTTTTTTTTTTAAAGAAATTATTCAGCAAGGATACATTAAATTGATCAAAGTGACTTTTACATTATTACAAAAGATTTGTTTTTCAAACAAAAAAGTTCTGTTCTTTTGAACTTTCTATTCATCAAAGAATCCTGAGAAAATGTACCACAGTTTCCACTAAACAACCGTTTTCAACAATGATAATAATAAGAAATGTTTCATCAGCATATATTAGAATGATTTCTGAAAGATCATGTGACACTGAAGACTGGAGTAATGATGCTGAAAATTCAGCTTTGCGTCACAGGAATAAATTACATTATAAAATATATTATAATAGAAATTGCAATAACGTTTCAGAATATTATTGTTTTTACTGTATTTTTTTATTGAGCATTAGAAATGTTTTTAAA